TTATATATATATATATATATATATATAAGTACATTTTTTAATAAATAAATAAGTATAATAACGCTTGGATGTTTGCACCGCAAAGCAATATGTATCTTAATAATGTCCAATAAACGAATACAAAGAGATGTTCGATTAATAAATTATTTAATATGTATCTTAAAAAATATAATATATATATTTCGACTTATAGAACCTTTATTAGTGTAATAATCGTGAAGCCTTACATTTTGTATAAAACTATAATTGATAATAATCTGAATCGTAAAAGCAGTCATATTCCATAAATTATCGGCTTTTTTGAATATACTTATAGCACATCCGCATCTTATGTCCGCAATAATTATGGTCAAGATATAAAATTTCTGTAACTATAATCTTCGTGAGATGATGAAAATCGACGTTAAGTTCAGTGATATCAATAATAGTCAAGATGTAAAAATCTATGTTCAAATAAAATTATAAAATTAAGAATAAAATAATTTCTTGAAAAAAAACAGTGCCAAATTTACGTCATAGTGTAAGATAAAACATAAAATTTAAATAAGAATTAAGAAGTTTGGCAGCTAATTACTTGGAGCTGTTTCTATTGACGAATCTCAAGCATAACTAAGAACCAAACTATATTTACTGTACAGTAATGTACAGTAATGCATACATATGCATTATATATTAAAGATAACGTAAACAATAGTGTGTGTCAAAGTTAGCTATAGGTTGTCATTTGAAAATTTTTTTAAGATGTCGAAATATGATCCATCCAATATTTCTATATCTTTTTTATAATTAATTCCATTATTTGCTCCTTGATGTGTATATATCATCTCTATAATCAATCTTTTGTTAAAATTATATGTTCAAATTCTAGGATTCTTACATTTTTCCAATCAATTTGTATTTAATATGTGTTCTGAAACAACTGAGTGTTTGGAAGGATCAGATTTTAAGTTGTTTTTGTGCTCTTTCAATCTTATTTGCAACTGCCTCTTCGTTTGGCCTACATTTGAAGCATTACAATTTTTACAATTAATTTTATAAACTAGATGACTGTTACAAATCAGGTATATTTTGTCTTTATAAACTTTTATGAATTTATTGAACTTATTTATAGTACGAAAATTATCGTGAAGATCACAAAGAAACATTTTACAAAATGTCACATGAATTTATGCGAACGAAAACGAGCGATTTTTTACAGGTTATATTAATTATTATTTTATTATTACGCGATGTAAATTTGCACCAATGTTATGTACTATTTAATTTCTCTTTGTATAAGTTTTGATTATTAATTTTTTATAGAATAGTATAGTAAATATCTGCAACAATGTGTAAAAGCCTTGTGAATAAATATTAATTTCTTAACGTATTTTATATAGTGAGTGTAAGAACTCAATTATAAAAAAATTGATACGAGTTCTTTAATTACTGACATGTTAAACGCCAGTAATTTTTAATTAATGTCATGTTAATTAAATTAATATCATATTAATGTAATTGACATTAATCTTTAATTACCGACTTTTAAAAGATCCTATAAAAAAAAAAAAAAATGACTTTTTAGCCAAAATTTAAAGGTCTAACTATAGTGTGCTGTGTTAATATCTCGATAACAAAAAGAATAATTAGAACAATAGTAGCTATACATTCTGTGGGATGTGCAATTTACGCAACATTTTTTTTATTTTTGTCGCAAAAGTCAATTTGTTTTCCGTGCCTTATTTTTGCAAGAGGAAAGTCAACTCGGAATTTAAAAATTAAATCGGCATTAATAGATAATACGTTATCTATTGAACAATGTCTTCTACTCTTTGATACAATGATTTATACAAACTTCGCGAGTGACATACAACTGTGTCAACTCAGTGTCCTGAACCTGTTAATAAGATCTTGACCCTTGATCTTATAATTGATAAATTATTCTTGAAGAAAATATAGTGATTGCTGTACATATTCTTCAGAAATAGCTAATGTTTCAAGATGAGATATTACAGACTTTTGTACTTTCATACATTTACTTATTACTTTATTAGCTTATAATTAGCTCTAAAGTCTATTTTTTAATTTACTGGACGTATATCTGTTAGACGTATCTTATAGCGCGAACAATTTTTTAAATATAATTTTTTAAATTTAATTAAAGTTTTAAGTTATTATATGTAAATTGTATATGTTTATAACGTATGCGCATAAGTGCTTGTAGGCAACCGAGCTGTAGGCAATAATTCATGTAAGCAATAATATGTACATGTTAGAAGATTTAAGGTAACTCCGATACACCACTCCTAAGAAAAATTTAATTCATTAAATATCATATATATACTATTTTTAAAGTAAACAAACTATATCAGTAAAAACCTTTTACTATCTACTACTATGAAAAAAATATTAAAAATTCGGAGTACTTATATTTTATATTAAAAAAAGAATTTTTTGAAATCCTTTTTTTAAATTATAATAACTCAAAAAGTATTATGTCATATATTATAAATTTTCTGTTTTCAAATATCGTAAAAATATCATTTTTATCATTAAATATTATAAATTTGCAATTTAAATATATTTTAAAAACTTACATGTACACAATATACAGATAGTACTAAATAAAATAAGGAGATGATAATCGGATGATATCTTAATGCATGTAAAAATATTTTAGAATTTTCCAACACATTACTAGTTTAATAGTAATAATAGCAATAACAATCGCATAGTCAATTTTGGATCACCAATTAATATTTATTGATAGAACTATACATGTAGTTATCTGGAAACACGGTAGTGTCTCGGCGTTAAGCCAAGCGCAGCGACATTGCCGTGTTATTACTAACATTATAACAATGTCTAATATTAAAATTATAATAACATGTAATTATAATTACAAGTATTAAAAATTTTTCTCTCAATGTGATTGTGCGAAAGAAATTTTCTGCGCGGTTGATTGTATTAACATCGCATTTTTTTCGGTGTGTCACAGAAGCTTTGATACAGAAAAAATACATAATATTAAATTTTTTTTTAATGAAACATTCCCAAAGACGTCATACCTTGTACCTAGTTTGTAGTTTAGGTAACTAAATTTACTATACAAAAATAGCAGACCATCCTTAACCGCGTTGAAACGATTTGTTTTTTCAATTAATTATTAATAAATTTCAAAAAAGGTATTGAATTAGATTTAAAAAAATTTTTTGATCAACCAAAACTTGCATTCTTTCAAAGTTGACAACAAGATTGGTAGCTTTCAATAATCAGATTTTAATTCTAATATCAGATTCGTATTCAGTTGAAAAAACCCTTATAAGATAGCTTTAAAAATTCAATTTTTGGTTATTTAACTTCTGATAATATAATAATTTCTAAATTGTTATAATATTGTATTTTTTAGGAAACCTTTTTTAAAAAAATTAAATTCCATAATTTTTTTTCAAATTTTTAACGATTAAATTAAAGAAAATTTATTTTGATTAGTTAAGAATTACGGTATTATAGCAATTTTTAAATAATAAATGTTCTTTACTATGTGCCGAGGAGAATATATTAAAACATCGATGAATGTATTAAATAAAATGCATTTTTGAGAATGGCTCAAAAGTGAACCGAGAAACGTTCTAATTATGTAATTATATAAAACAAATTATTATTATTTCATCCCGAAATTCGAGAATAACGTTATCGCAGCGTGAAACTTTGTGAAAAATTGAGTGTAAGTTATTAATATTATTAATAAAAGTGTAAGCTATTATTTCTTTTCTAAAATAGTTTTTAAGTATAAATGTTTTTTTTAAAGTTTGACTAAGCTAGATTAAAAATTATTATCTGTCCACATTTGATGTGTATGCAATGGTATAACATTGTATCGCTATACGCACACTATCACATGAACAGATGACTTTTTAACTAACGTTTATGATTAGTCAAACTTTAAATATTTATACTTAAAAATCTATTTTATGGAAAAAAATGACTTACACTTTTATTACTTAATTATTCACGAAGTTTCACGTTGCAATAATATTACTCTCGAATTTCGGGGCATCTGTATATTGTTTTTAGATAAACTTTTGTATATTTTTATCGCAACGACTCTTATTATTTCGTTTATCTGTACTTTCTTTTGTATACCTATCTTACCACGACGAGCAATGCATACTTCTCAAGATAATTAAGATTTTCTTCCAAATTTATTTAAATATGCAGAGTTGCTCGAAAATCTATATACCGAAATATACGCAATTTTTTTTTATTTATGAGGCATTAAATATAACGAAAAGAACTGAGCTCGTTTTTAGAACGCTCTGCCCAGTGAGAAATGATAATGGAATTGACATCGAATTGACGTCGAGCTCAATTGTCCTTTTCACTTATTCCTAAACACAAACACGTAAGCTCGAAAACAATAGTCAATAAATAGTGGTAATATAATTGGCTTTGCTCTTATATTCTGTTGTGTGTTTTGACTGTAAGATTTGGAAAGAAGGTTTATATCTAAAACCTTTTTGATTCTTGATAACTTTAATCGCAAGAAGACGCTAGGAAAATCGAGAAACAATATGTTTCGACTTTTCATAGTAATCGCGACACTCGTCGTGCTGAGCAACTCGGAATTATTGAGGTGAGATAATGTAAACGTCGATTTACGATAAATATTTCAACAGTAATTAGACTAAAACTATAGAAAAATGTACTTTGTGTGTCAAAATAATGTAAATAGATAAACAAATTTTTTTTAGTATTCTTTTAAAATTAAAAATTTTATCATCTTTATGCCTTAAATGAGAGTGACATAAAAGGAGAAGTTTGCATTTAAAATACACAAACATCCTGTGTAAATAAATTAATGTAGGACATCTATTTTTTAATTCTAAAATGCTTAAATAATATCTAAGATATAATTAAATTTTAAGTTTATACATGATTAATCAATTTGTCTAAAATTCGTATACATATGTTGTATCATATTGTGTATTTGTGAAACATACATACATATAGTATAATGGACTCTTCTTTTATGCTTTAAGTATTCCGTTATACCGTATATCAAAAACGATTGACATCGATAGTATACGAAGTAATTGGTCTACAACTCTTTTGGATGGTAGTCAGATTGGTGAAGATATAAAGAAACCATTGTTTAATTTTTATGAAAAATATCACTATGGCGTTATCTCAGTTGGAACTCCACCGCAGGAGTTTAACGTACTTTTTGACACTGGTTCTTCAAATTTTTTCGTACCATCCATAACTTGCGAAAATATTATATCTATGATTGATAATACTGCTTGCTGTAAGTAAATTATAACGTCACATTTTCTTCGACATTCCATTACTTTTTTATGTTTACATTTATATTATATTTATATTTCACATTAGTTATATATGTCACAGTCAAAGTGTATATTTTTGTAAATACTTCCAAGCATGTATATATTTCCAAGCAACACGCCATGTTTCGATTTTGGATTTTTTATTGTCTAGGTTTCTAGACAATGTATACATTCACATAAAATTTATTATAATAAATGCATATATCGATTGTAGTAGGCGACAGTAGATGTACACATTTACTGAATTGACTGTAACATATACAAGTACATTTATAATTAATAACAAAACGTGTTTCAACTAAAACTTTTTCCAAGAGATATGAAACACATTTGACTGTTCAATCGTATGTGAATAATGTCGAGTTCTACATCAAGACTCACCCGAATTGTGATTATAGTGAATATTAAACATTTCCGATAATTAATTTTGTACAGCGATTTTTATAATAAGTTAATGTCTGAGGAGGGCTCAATCCGGCAGCAGAAATTTGTAATTTATTTGTAATTTATTTGTATTTAAATTAAGTTTTTATTTTATTATATTTTTTCAATTTTACTTTTCTCTATTTGTATGAGTAATTTATTCTTTTTAATTGTGTGACAATTTTAAGAAATGTGTATGTTTATATGTTATGTGTTAAGTGAAAAATAATAAATACATTTGATATTATAACGATTGTTAATATATATCTTTAAATAAATAAAGAAAAATTTATTTTTAACATCTTTAGCAATAACTAGTTTTCTTTTATTGTTTTGTACAGCATCACGTAAAAAATATGATAATAAGAAATCCCATACATACGTAGAAATTGGTACTTACATGAAGCTTGATTATACGGTTGGTAGTCTAACCGGATATTTATCTACTGATGTAGTGAATGTAAGTTGCCATCAAGCAACAGTTCGATTTAGTTTTAATTAATCCAATTATAAATTTATAAAAATTTTTTGAAGAAACATCGATTTTTTTGTAGATTGCTGGCATTAGTGTTCTAAATCAAACATTCATAGAAGTGATAGAGATGGATCCGGCTTTTTCTATTCTGAAATTCGATGGAATCTTAGGAATGGGTTATCCAGCGATATCTATGAAAGGAGTGCTACCCGTTTTCACCAACATGATTGAACAAGGCCTAGTATTAGCACCTGTTTTTAGTTTTTATTTAAATCAGTATGTATCTTTCTTCTATGCATGTTTAAAAATACTCTTTTACTTAAAGACGTTTAAATACGTTAAAATTAGTCTTACCATATAACAAAATTTGTCTTTTTAATATGGAGAAATAATATTGTTTAATATTAAAAAATCTAATCCTTATAGAAATTTCCCTAGTAAATTGATATTGGGTGGTTCCGATTCCGCTTATTATCACGGCACGTTGACGTATGTTAATGTAACCACGAAAGGATACTGGCAATTTACTATGGATCAGTATGTAATCATTTTTAAATTACACACATATATGAGCTACAAATTATATACCAGCTAATTGTTAATGCTGTAGGATAATAATGAATTATGATACAACTTTATGTGTGAACTGTGAAGCTATCATACACACTGGTTTTTCGGGAATATCAGGACCAGCATCGGAAATCGCAGTTATTAACAAACAGATTGGACCACTTTATCGTGGTGGACAAACAATTGTAATTAGATGACTATTTTCGCAATAGCAGTTCTTTTTTAATAAAACTAAATAAATTATTGAAATATATAGTAATAAATAATGCTGGATTTATTACTGATTACATCATTAACACAAACTTTTGTTTAAAGGTGGATTGTAACGACATTCATAATTTGCCCCACATATATTTCGTTCTAGGTGGTCAAATATTTCTATTTTCTAGTGAAGATTATATAGACGTGAAAGTGGTAAATATCGCCAAATAAAGCTTTAAGACTTATAATACTTTAAAACTTCAGATTGATAATGTTGGAACCGATAAAATACAAGAAAATTCTTGCAAAATGTATTAAATTATATTCTGAAGATAATAATTTTTGCATTTAATGGAAAAACTTGATAAAATATTTTCAAAATATATGAAAACTTTTCTTTTATTTCAGAATAAAAAATTATATTTCTCTCAGTTCGGCAGCTGTCATATAGCTTATTTAGTTTTTTGATTATAATTACAATTCAATAACATGGCTATTTATGTTACTGGAATGCATGAAAAGTTTTAAGTATATTTTACAAATGATAGATTACAATGTATAATTAAAAAAATACAATTTAATATAATTTGTGTTTCTTTAAATATTTTTCCCGCTTTCGATGTTATAATCTAGAATGATAATGAATAGTCAAAAAGTTATAGAACCGTATTCAATTTGTTGCAGCTCGATGAGAATAGTACGTTATGTATAAGCACCTTCACGAATTCGAGTGAGAATATTTGGGTTTTGGGCGTTCCGTTTTTTAATCAGATTTATATTGAGTTCGACATGGGAAACAACCGAGTGGGATTTGCGCATGCAAAATAAGTATTGTTTTCTCAAGAGATTGCTTTAAATGCTAAAAGATTTATTAAATGAAAGTAATAAGTAAATAATTAAGTCCTACAATCTTCTTGGAATTTTTCTTTAGAACATTGATTCATGAATCTTATGTTTATTGTACTTTTTATTCGGAATTACTTAAACGTTAATTATGTTTTTAGATAAATGCGTACGTAATATATTTTAGAAAATTACGAAGATGTGCGACATTGTTATCAATTTGTTACTTTATATAGTCCATTATTTCAGCATAATATTGTCACACGATATAATGAATATAATTGAATCTGTTAATTTCAATTTTTCTCCTTTTTTTATAATAAAATATAGAAGTTATATGTATTCTCTTCACACCAACTCTGCATTTGTAAACTCTAAAGCAATAAACTATTTTAAGCTATATTTATTGTTATTAATTACGTCTTATGTTTCTAGGAAATAATAATTTTAATATAATATTTTTTAAAAGTATAATTTTATGCATTTAAGTAACTTTGTAAAAATTAGAAATTATATTTGGGCAAGTTGTTTAAACCGCAATAAAGGAATAAGGAAAATATATTTACCATAGTAAGAGGGCCGTATTTCTGGGAACACTTCATTCTCATTTATCTCTTTATTATCCCACATTTGAAAGTACATAAAATATGTAATTGATGTGATTTTTAAAAAATTCTTATTTTACATGTTTAAACTATACACATCGTACTTGTATTCGAATTATTTCTTTTTTTTTATTATTTTTTAATACAATTGCTTTTATTAATTAATTTTTATCCACAATTGTACTTTCAATTAATCACTTAATTGATTTGGATTTAAAAAACTAGTTTCTTAATCTCTGTCACCTGAAGTCTTATCGCACAGTGGGAATGACAGAAAAAAAACTTATTGTACAAAAATACAGATTATAATTCTTAACCACGACAAGACAATTTGTTTTTTAATCAATTATGAATAAATTTTAAAGAAAAGTGTTGAGTTAAGTTTTTAAGAAAGATCTATTTACATGAGCTAGATGACATTAGTTAAAACATATACTTTAAAGTTGACTGCGAGATTGATAACTTTCAATAATCAAATCTTAATTTTAACATCAGATTCAGCAATGCTAAAAATCCTTATATGAGATAACTTCACCGCACGTGATATAATAAAAACAACTTTAATTCAAATAATTCCACTTCTTAACTTCTGATAACAATAATTTCTAGATTATTATAATATTACACATTTCAGGAAGCTTTTTTTAAAAATCAAATTCTACAATTTTCTTTGAAATTTTTGACATTAAAATTAAAAAATATTTGTCTTGATCGATTAAGACCTACAGTATTAAAGCGATTTTTGAATAATGAATTTTCATTTGTCCCCCATATACGTCAAAGAGAATATAAAATATCGATAAATATATAAAATTAAACGCTGAGGATGGCTAAGAAATAAACCGAAACATTTAATTATGTAATTAAATAAAACAAATTATATATTATTTTTAGATAAATTTTAGCTCATTGTTTGCGCTGACTCTCAATCGCTTTTATTGTTTCAGTTATTTGACACTATTCTTTTGTAAACCTATTAAGACAAAACAATACAGAACTTTAAAATTAACATTTCTTATTAGATTTATTTAAAACATTGAGTTGCGATAATGGGTAGGGGAGAAATATGCTTAAATGCGAAATATAATTTTTCAAAAGTTTATTAGAGATTAGTTTATGAAAAGAACCAAGATTGTTTTTAGAAAGCTCTGCTTGTTCAGTTGTCCTTCTTTTCATCCACTTCTAAACAGAGTCATGTACATGAGCTCGTAAACAACATTAGGAACGCTAATGATTGACTTATCTCTTGTATTCTGTTATGCGATCCTACTGAACAGATTTGAAGAGGAGTTACAACGCTTCTAAAACGTTCTTGATACTTGATACTTAGTTCTAATTATTTCGAGAAATATGTTTCGATCTTTTGTGTTAATCGTGACACTCATCGAGTTGATCAATTCGAAATTGTTAAGGTAAGATAGTGAAAATGTTGATTCGTGACAAATACTTAAACGATAATTAGAACAAAACAGTTGAAAAATATCTTTGGGTGTAATCTTATGAAAAAAACTTTTGAGCATTTAAAGATCGAAATTTTATTATCTTCATGTCTTAAGTGAGATGAGCATCATAGAAACTGAAATTTGCAGTTAAAATATATAAACATTATTTAAATGCGTAAATAGGTTAAATTTAATTGTATTAATTACTTAATACTAAAATGTTGAGACATAAATAATATCTGAAAGTAAGAAAAAATTAAATTAAAAATAATTA